TTAATTAATATTTTAAATATTTTTAGATAATAAAATGACAAAAATTAAAAGCTAAACTAGCTCAGAAGCATTCTCAAACGAAGCAAGTCTCAGGTTTATAATAGTAAAACCCTATCGTAAGCCCTTAAATTTATCTCAAATTCTTGATTAAACCCTTAAATTTTTGTTAAAATAAATATGCTTTTATATTTAGTAATTAAAGCAGTTCAACCCTTTTCTTTATAGCAAACTTAATGCCTATTTATGCCTCACATGGGTAAGGTATTTACATATCATCGTCTATGTGATGGGTACTAACCTTGTGCGGACAAGGAAAGTACATACATGTGCTAAATTTGTCATTAAAAAAAATTTTTATATAGCCCAAATTGTTGTGATCAAGGATTTATTTCCTTCAATAAAAATCTAAAAACATAATAAAAAATTTAGAATAAGTTTAGGTGCTTAATAAAGGGTTTTACCCTCAACTCACTTATGCAACAAGAAAAAAGCATTTTTGCAAGAAGAAAAACGATTTATATACCCTTAAATCGCTTATGCAATCCACTCAAGTTACACAACCGAATAAAAGTTACACATCATGGCAAAGAAATGTACATAGGAGCCAAGATGTAAAAAGAAAGATCCCTAGCTACAAACTTTTTTTGCAAAATTGAGGTAAAGAATGAGAATATCTAACTAACAAAGTAAAGCTTCACATATTTTAACTTTTAAGTTGAGTCGAATTAACTTCAAGTATTAAATTTTTATCTTGTCGATCAAAAATCCCTGAGAGCAAGAAAGAATAAGTTCTTCCCTCCCCCGCCTGTAAGAGTTGCAAAATTGAGGTAAAGAATGAGAATATGCGACTAACAAAGTAAAGCTTCACATATTTTAACTTTTAAGTTGAGTCGAATTAATTTCAAGTATTAAATTTCTGTCTTATTGATAAAAAAATCCCTGAGAGCAAGAAAGAATAAGTTTTTCCCTCCCCTGCCTGTAAGAGTAAGACTTCGGTTTCAAGCAGCAGAGAGCAAAAACTTTTCTTTCTTTAATCATTTTTTTCTAGATTCAAAGAATATCCCTAGTCTTCACCCTTGCAGTTCCAAGGTGCTTGATTCCACAATCGGAGATGGATGGAAGAACTTACGGAACAGAATGGCGCTGCAATAAGACCTTCTGGGTTGAGGCTGGCATTGGACATTGCTGGAACAAGAGCATCCAATAAGCCAATTTCCTTCTCTGAGGGAAGTAGTATGATAGTTATTGCTAGCTTTGACCATGACCAGCCAGGCAAAAGGCAAAAACCTATCCATCAACCATCTAAGACCGGTTCTGCTTCTATGGCATCTTCTTAGACATTTATCCCTATCCCCGCAAGAGTCACTCTTTCATCCGCTGATGCTACTTTTTGTCCTTATTGAGGGGAACCACCCAAATTGAGTTCCAGGGTCGGGATAAATGTTAATGAGTTCCCTGGGATTCATCTCCACCAACCAAACTCAAACTAGCGTTCCTTCCTACATTCACTAGCAATGAGCCCATTGGGCGGTCTTTACCCCTGCTCTTTGGTCCCCAAAAGCTCTGCTGAAAGTCGTAATTGAAGAGCCACATATTCTACCCCATTGGGAGTCATTTTAATAAAATTTCATAAAAGAGATTAAAATATCTTAATTTTTAAACTAAAAATGAAGTTATTTTAATCTTTACTCATGATATTTTATTAAAACAACATAATCTTAAGATATTTTTCTACTTAATTTTTTACAATACCGACTAATACCCACTAATCTCATTTATATATAAAAAAAGTGTGAATTAGACTGTATTACAAAAAATTAAACAGAAAAAACCATTGAAAAAGACTAAATCATCCTAATTATTT